TTTTGGTTTTGCAATGGCATTGCATAAGGCCACAAGAAGGACATTTTTAAAGGAATTGATTCCTGGGATGAAAATTGTTTCCTACCTCTGTGGCAGACAACACTGGGTGCATCCATACTGTAGAATTAATGCAAGTGAGATGCCACTTTTAACTGCCATGTCTCAATGCTATGGAATCATGGTGGTTGCAGTTTTACAATGGCTCTAGCATTCTCTGTCAAAGTGTACTGGTGCCAACATTCCATAGCATTGAGCCATGGCAATTAAAGTGGCATCTAACTACATTAATTGTACAGTGTAGATACACCCAATAAATTAGCTATGTAAATGGCCAGACTTAGACAACTTGCTTTGAGACTAAGATATTCTTGGTCTCCAAAACCAGCTAAAGCAGTGGTTCTCAACCTGTGGGTCCCCAGGTGTTTTGGCCTACAACTCCCAGAAATCTCAGCCAGTTTACCAGATGTTAGGATTTCTGAGAGTTGAAGGCCAAAACATCTGGGGACCCACAGGTTGGGAACCACTGAACTAAAGGGTAAATCCCTGAGTAAAATCCAAGCTTGGGTTGTACATTGCCCTAAAATGAAAAGTTCATTGCAGTGGGAACTTTGAATGATAATCCCACTGTATAGGTTTAATGTGTAAAACATATCACCATATGAAGTACAAGTATTGAAATCAATTACTTGAATCTTTAAAATAATGTATTCTGGATACTTCTCAGAAAATGATATATATAAGTCTGAGCTGCTAGTTAATTAAAAATAACATTTAGCTGCATATATTTCACTGATGTATACAGAGATCTCTAATGATTTATTTGGAAATTGTATCATTTTAAATAGTTTTAAGATGAATGCATGACTAATAGTAAACTCATTATTTCTCCATCAGATCCACAGATATCCGTGTGAAAAATGAGACACCAAGAATCTCTTTCTCCTTTACTGTCAGCATGCCTAATGACAGTGCCAGTTTGGTTCCTAGAGCTGAAGTGGAAAAAGCAATCAGGTGAACTTATGGTCCAGCAAATAGGGCACAAAATGCTCAATTGTGATGTTAAATCCCAGTTTCCCTTCTCCATACCAGTCATGGTTTGCACAGATTTGCAAGGAATATGAAACCATAACTTTGCTAAACAAACCATCATTTCATGTTATTTGCAGATTTGATCAATATGTTTTCTCTAAGAATCTCTAGGTCCTTCAGCATGACTCTGTGGTCAGCTTCCATCAGATGTTTACCACTGAGTCTGCCAGAAGTTGACCATGCAATCATGTTGGAGTGTCTAGAAATTGCTTGAATGAATGCTTCTCTAGATCTTCCAGCGTGTCTATGGTTAGTTTCTGGTGGAATTTGACTTTATAGTCACATTGAGGGATGTAGATTCCCAGAGAGATCCCTTCAGGCAAAAAATAGCCATTTTTATTTGCATTTTTTCTATTTCCATAGGGTTCCTGCACTCTTATCCCTGGCAAAAAGTGGAGGGCCTAATCTATAAGCAATTCATGATGACTATAAATCTGATGTATAAAAACTGTCCACTTTATTTATCCACTACAAAATAATCAGAAATTATTCCATTTAGGAAAATAGTTTCTGTTTAGGTCTCACTAAGGATATGAATACATGTACTTATTGAGAAGCCCATTGAGTTCAGTAGGATTTACTTTTAGATAAATATGAGTAGGCTACAATATAATATCCACTTGAAAGTAAGTCCGATTGAATTCAGAAATGCCAAGGGATACACAATATAAGCCTATAAAAGAAATCTCAACAAAAAGCAATTGAAGTCAAAACATATGTTTAAAATGGAGAAATTATTTTTCTAGTGTAGTACATATTTCAGGAAGAAGAGAATGGCTAATAGAGCCTTGAAAAGAAATGTAAGTTTGGATCTTGACTCTTTCAATTTACCTTTAATGAAAAATTGGAGTAGGCAAAGTTAAGTTTTGGAGAACTTGAGAAACAAGGAGAAAACGAATAACGTGACAGATAAGCTAATTATTAAAAAGTAACAATAGTACAGGAGGCAAGGAAGGTAGAATCGGAAGCCTTAGGCTCATAAAACATTTTGCATTTTGGTTCTCATAGGCCACCCAACATGTCCAGTGGTGAAGCACTATAATAGCTCATATCCAAAACAGCTATAGGGCTAAATGGAAAGCACTCTGCATCTAATATGTTATGGTGTGAGCTTTCTCATATTAGTGTTGTTTTTGTGTGCTGTCAAATCATGTCTGATTTATGGCAATCCTAAGGTGAATTTATCTAGGCCTGTCTTGGCAAAATTTATTCAGAGGGTTGCCTTGGTCATTCTCTGAAGCTGAGAGCGTATAACTTACCCAAGTTCACCCAGTGGGTTTCTATGACCAAGTAGTGATTCTGGCCTTGAATTCAAGCCCTAGTCCATCTCCCAAGCCAATATGCCACTCTTGATCATCCATGTGTTGAAAGGCAGACAATAACACGGATAAATAGACCCTACTCTTGCTTTACAGTATGTCTCGGAGTCGCATCAATGAAGCGTTCAAACTAAATGATGAAACCTTGGAATTTGTTGGAATCTATCCCACTTTGGCGCCACCTTATGAACCCCCAGTCACTGTATGGCTTATAGTATTTGGAGTGGTTGTTGGCATTGTAGTACTTGCATCAATTGCCTTGATCGTCATGGGAGTGAAAGACCGAAGAAGGTAAGGGATTGTTTGTTTGTTTGTTTGTTTGTTTATTTATTATTTGAACTTATATGCCGCCACTCCCCTGGGGCTCAGAGCGGTTTACAAAAACAGGCTAAAATTGAACACAATTTAAAAACAATTTAAAACAATTTAAAACAATTTATGAGCAGTTCTGCTCTTTCAAACTGATACAGACTCATTTTGCGTAGCAGAAGAAACTAAAAATATTCCTAGGTGACACTGTTTTGATCTAATTCAACAACACAGCAAAGAGATCCTGTTTATCAGTGGTGCTTCTTCAACCATTCAGTATACTAGAGTCTTGATTTAAGGTCAGTTTTGCATTTCTGGACTCACAATGTAAATTGAGACTGATTTAAATGAGAAAAACTGGTTACAAAGGGAATCATTGGAGACTGGACACTGTGTTCCAATTTCATTCAAGCTACCACCAATGTTAAGGAGGGTTTTTTTCTTCTTCTCCCTCATACCCTTGTTTTTTTTTTCCCTTCCAGCAAGAAGTTGCTTTCAGACACTTAATTACTTACTTATTTAAGGGGTAATATTGTACATTTGAAGTGTTGTAAATCAGGAGTGTACTGACTGTTGTTCTTGATGCTAGCAAGCCTTGTATCAAATGTGGAGCTCTTATTACATACCAATTTATCCTTGTTCTATGCAGGAGAAGACAGGCAGCACAGAATGATTTAGTCCGAACCGATAGAGCCAACCCTTATCCAGACTATGGAGAAGACAAGTTCATGTCCCAAGAAAGAATTAACAACTCAACGGCATTCTAAAACAATAATAACAATGATAAAAGCAGCCAGTTCATGACTCTTATTTATACTTGCAAATCAGTGCTAACTATATGAAACAGGAAGTGTTGCCTGAATGCAGCTCATGTTAAACGTTAAGTGGACAGCTGAAGCACTGCCATATTCATGTACCACTAGTGTCTGGCAATTCTAACCAACTATTTTCAGTGGAATAAGCATGAACCAAAGACCCACACTAGTCTATGTCTAATGGGTAAGTGGTGATGGAAACAATCCCCTCTGAGCAGTTAGCAAATATGGTTAGTCAAAGCATAGTAGCCACCATCTATTCAACATTGCTGATGTGGCCCTGGTCAAACATTCAGAACCACATATTGGCCTGGATGCTAAATTGTTCAGGCAGCCTTGGCAACTATGCATGAAGTATTCATTTATTACACAATGCATATACATGGAGTCCATATACTTGTAGGATCGAAAGAGTTTCTATGTCAGAGATTAGTAATCAGGTTGTTAGTGTCTCTCTCCCTCCCACACCACCCCGCCAAAAAAGGATCTGAATGTTGACACAGAGTGAGTTCCTCTACTTATGCCTTTCTCTGTTAATGCTAATCCCACCTCATGAGAGAAAATACAGGTGTTTTACTCATATTAATACCGTTAGTGAGGAATGTATTGAAATGTTTCAAATAGCCAGCTATTTGTCTTGGAACACTTATTTTATTTGCTTACTCTTATTTTCGAGAGTTTTTTTTATCTACACTAAAAACAGACATTTAAAAGAAAATTTATTTTCATTCCTTCTTTTTTAGTACACGATTATTTTATGTAAGAGATTCAACTTGTTAGCAAACTTGAAATGACATGGCTCTTAAAAATATCAGTAGGACCACCTGTGTATAAGACATGGAGCACTTTATATTTATCTATGCAATGTCTACAATGAAAAGCTGTTTCTTACTTTGTTTCAATCTTTACAACTCCAGTGATAGAGCTGAATACATTTTAGTCCCAATTAGAGTAGGCTCATCATAATCAATGATTTTTATATTAATTTTGATTGGGGGTGAAAATTATGTGACTCTCCAGATGTTGTTGAATGACAATGGTAAAGACAGTGGGAGTTGTCACATAACCCCCACTTGTAGAATGAACCAGTAAGTTATTTTCAATACATCTACCTAGGACTAAAATGTCATTTAGTCCACAGAATGGAAAGAAATAATAATAGCAGAATACTTTTACACGATGTGGGTTCCCCTCTTGATTTTCTTTAAAGCCTCATGTTTTTCAGAGGACACATTTTAAGACTTCTCCCACATGTGGAGAAAATGCTGCAAAGCTGTGTGCTGTGGGAACAATCAAGTCATCTATAATAGTTTGTCAATAACACAATCTGTTGTTAACTGCTTGCTGCCATATTTAGGCCATCCTCTGGCCTTCAGTTCTTCATACAGATCCTTTTGTAAAAATACTCATGCTGTAATCTGAAAACACACACATATTTAAATAAGAATAAATCAAGAAGCAAAGTATGTGCAGTATCTCATTTCTTTTATTAAATATTTAGTCACTGAAAGATATTCTTTTTATTTACTCTAAGGTTCATGAACAGGGTTCATTAAGAACACTGAACACAACACTTTACTTGAAGACACAATGCTAGGTATGCTCTCTCTTGAAAGCCCAAAGTTCCGCCCAGAACAAGGTGCATCTGTATTATAGAATCCTAGCATCGTAAGAGTTAAAGGGCTATCTAGGGGTTTCTCTACACCACTGGTTCCCAACCTTTTTTGACCAGGGACCACTTGACCAGAGGTCATTTGACCAGGGACCACTCTCCAACATTAGTACCAAAAGGGTTACGAATCAGTTTTGGGTCAACTTTAGATTCGGTTTGGTTATTTGGGATGCTGATTCAGAAAATTGCATTGGATAGAACACATCTGCTCTAGTTTCTGATACAGAACATATGCCACCCAGTAGTCGCCATCTGCTCAGCCACAGAACACCATGTTTAACAAGACTCTGCACTATAAGAGGGTTTTGTGAGACTAGTTGCTTTTGTTGCAACAGTATAGTAATGGTGAGGCCATGAACCATATTTTAATTCTTGCGGACCACTGGTGGCCCACGGGCCACAGGTTGGGAACCACAGCTCTACACTGTAAGGTGAATGCAACTTAACTATAATACCAGATAGACATGGGAATTGCTTTTACAAAAACATTAGCCTTTACTGTTGAAGAGTGCTAGTGACTCACCAAACTACTACTCCTAAGATTGTACAGCATTGGGCCATGGCAGTTAAATTGGTGTCAAACTGCATTCAGTATAGATGCACCCTTTCTATAAAAAATACAATAAGAGCAACTGAGTTGGCTATGACATACAAAAAACTCATACATAAGGAGCAAGCGCTGTTTCCCAATTCTGTATGTCACACTTATTTTTATCTTTTCCCATTATATTAGGTCTTTCCATATTTGCATTACATGTCAAGAGATTGTGGAACATAACTCAGAATGTGTTGTACATGTTCAGTTTAACTTGAACTCACTAGCAACCTACAGCATAATCTCTAAGGTAGAGCAAAAAAATTTCAATGTTGCTCTCCCTCATTTAAGCCTTATAATCACTATTGATCTTCTCTGTTCGCCACTTTAAATATAAAATGTATAATTTGACAAATGCTTCTAAAGTACAACTTAAAAGAATAAGCAAGGAGAAGGAAAATCAGGTAGGTGTATTCTTTAGGGCTTGCCTTCTTTTCTTTGTGGCTCCAGGATAGAAAGCAGCTCACGAAAATTAGGGCGTTTTTCAGGCAACTGTACAGAAAAGAAACCGTGTTTAAACTGGCAGATATAGTCAGAATTTCAATAGATGGGTTACTGCAAAATTGTTTCATCAAGAGATTCTATTTATTCATCATATTAAAAATGGCAGTGGCCAAGAGCAGTATGACTGACTGGCTCTACATTCTTTAAGCTTATCACTTTAATATGGAATACCTGAAGTATGCAAGAAAAATCGTATCTATATATGTGTATGTTAATTACAAGCCTATAAAAGCCTGTGTGGTGCTTTTGAGTGGTGGACTAAAGCTCGAGGACACCCAGCTTCAAATTCCCATTGTGTCCTGTAAAGCCACTGGATGCCTTTAAGTCATGTTCTCTCAGTCTTAAAAGAAGGCAATGGAAAACTTTTCTGAATACTATTCCCCAGAAAATCATATGATGGAAACAACAGAAATTGGAAACAATTTGGCAGCATATAATAACAAATAATTATGACTATAATAAATTTCCCTTTTTAAAAGAGGGAATAAAGATCACTAGATCTTTATTGTAACTCTCTAAGGGTACATCCAGATTAATAGAAAAGTCAAGTTCTTTCCGATTTTACACTGGGTTATAAAAAACATCCTAGGCAGCTGGTATAAAAAGTTTCTGATCATTCCAGGAAGTGATAGAAAATATTCCAGGGTAAACAAAACATGTATGAATCTCCAAAATAAAATAGAAAAGAACAGGAACAAAATCTGGGACTTTCTGTTATTTTCAGTCTATCTGGTTGTGACCTAATAAGTTTCTGAACTCTTATTTGTTAAAGAACTAGGTGAAAGAGTACACGTTTAATTTGTTATCTTTTGACACTGACTTGTCAAAGGAAAAGACATGGGGATCTTTCCCAGTCAGGCTACTTGAGAATCTTTAGCTGGAAATATCAACTAGAACCTGGTGCATTTTGAGCACAAATTATGAATTGTAATACTGAAATATGGGTTCATCCTCAATGCCACCAGCACTTTGACCTTTTCTTCAGTATTTTGTATACTTCAGGTGCTAAAGTATAATGTTGGTAAGCATGCTTTTTCTTGTAAGTACTGCACAATAGTAATAGGTGCCCATATGACCTTAATATGTTTTGGATTCCAATTCATAAGTCACTGTCCACTAGCTATAATGGCTGACACACCTGGGGCACCCAATAACATCAGAGGACCAAATGTTGGGAACTAATGTGGGTGGGGGCTTAATGTGAAAATATGGACACATGGCTAGATCATTTACTATATTATTGAATTGAGAAGTATCACTTTGTAAATCTCATATAAAATAATGTACATACCTCATGCCAGCAGCTGTACATGATTTCATAGATGGCTTCAGAAGCCAATTGTGGACGATACAGCCGATAACCCTGGCACACCTTCTCAATCACTTGCAGGTTATCATACTGGTCGTAGGGCAGCTTGCCCAAAGTGAACACCTCCCACATTAAAATTCCTGTAGATATGCCCAAAGCAATAAAATTTATAATTTTAGGATGTCCTTGTAGTTTGTGTCATTTTCCCTTTTAAATCCTCAGGAACATATATACTTTAAAATTACTGTTCTTAGAGTTGTTCCAAGAGAGAGACCAGACAAAAACAACCCCTGCAGGCTAGCCCTGAACCCAACTAAGTATCTATTACTGGGCTGCTGTGAGCTTTTGGGGCTGGAAACAGCTTATAGTGAGGCAATGCTGAAACAGGGCTGTGATGTCTTCTGGGAAATTCTGGTTAATGGGTGCGATGGTGTCTGCCATAGGGCCCTAGAGACATCACATCAAAATGGATCAGTTTGTCACTGGTGTTGACTTTGAGATTGCTGATTTTTCCCCCTATGAAGTGGGCTGAGTCCTTAATGTGTATGCAATGAGCCCAATATGGGTTTGTAATTGTGTGGCCAGACATTTTGCTAAAACAGGTCCCAACCAACAAAATAACCAGAAAAACCAACTCCTCAATTAAACTTAGCATACAACAACATCTATGCAAGCCCTCCCTTCTAGGCTTTATGGACATCCAAAAACCCTTAAGGACTCCACTCCACCCAGACCCATCGTGAGCACCATTGGACCCGCCACGATTTGGCAAAATTTCTCAGACAAGAGTTCTTTCTTCACTTGCTTCACTGCCAACAGAACCTTTGAAGATGCCAGCCACAGATGCAGGCAAAATGCCAGAGAGAATGCTGCTGGAACATGGCCATGAAACCCAAAAACTCACAGCAAGCCAGTGATTTGACAATGTATTTTTATCACCTTGAGGCCCCCACTTAAATCAATAGTGTTCTGCATTTCCTTATTTTCCCTCCATATTGGCCAGTTGTGACAAAGCAACCAAATGAACGCAAATATTAAGTGGATTACTAGACCATAAACAAGCATATTAGGTGTGCCAAGGCATATCCTTGTCAGCTGAAAAAAATCTCACAGAAGGCAAAAAAAGGGGGCTATGGTAGGAAAAATCTTTCCTGATCCATATTTAGGCAACCAGCGGAAGACTTTGAAAGACAAATAGAATCATGAATTATTTTAGAGATGTTAGGTAAATCACACTGGTGGGCCAAGCAAAATTGTACTGAGGTTTTGGGGAAATGAGATCTTGTGGCCGATGCAAGGCTTAGCTTGGAACTCAGCTTGAGATCATGGATTAAATTGTCATGATAGCTGGGAATCCCCAAAATGACTCCTCCTACCAGACTAGCAGACAAGCCATTGTTTGGCCTGACTGAGGGCAATAGTGATTTTTTCCCCTATGGTGTAACCTGACCTATTCCATCAAAGCAAAGGATCTAGAATTATCCTAGATATAAGAGAGGACCTCCAAGTGTTTTCAAAATCTGGCGGAAACTGGAGGTTATGCATATACAGTGTGTGTGTGTGCATACAGAAGGCCTCTCCCCACTCCTCTGCACCACCAATGTTTGCAGAGTTAAATATGCTCCCAACTCCCAGAAAACTCTTCTAATATTTTTTAAGCCAGGAAACAACACTTCCTTTCACTCTCAAGAGCTCTGGGGATCAGCTGAGGTGCAGGGAAAGCAGGGCTGTGTTCTCACTAGTCACAACGGTCACGTACGGAGTGTCAAACCTTGCACACAGCCCTCCCCAGAATTATGTAACCACTGCAAGAGTGCACTGTGTCTCCTAGTAAAATTTTCCCCTACTGTTGATTTGTTTTAAAACCCACAATACTGCTGCCTCCACTCTTCTCTTTCATGCAGTTTCATGTCACTAAGACACTTGGCTTCAACCTCTTTTACATCTAGTGGAAGGTTTTGCCAGTATGAATTTGTGTGCCTAAGAAATCCACAAGTCACAAAGCAAACCTGTTAGTTTTAGGTCTGAAACCTGTTGTCAGTCCTCACTAGAAAAGAACCATTGAACCAAAACCTACTGATTGAGGAGGATCTACTCTACTGCAGACAAATGAAGAGACACTATCTTTTGTGAATTGCAACTTGTCCAAGAGGACAAAGCCTATGAGCAATTAGCATTCAAAGTTTGTGTGCCAGTCTCTACTATTGCTTCATGGATAAATCTCCATGCACCAGTGGAGAAGGTTTCATCCTCTGTGAAGCGGATCTTTTCCCCTCCTACTCAACAGAAGGAATAAAACCAGAAAGAAAAGCCCAAATGGCCCTATTTACTGCTACAATTGTTGGTGGATGCTGCACCAATGGTACATTTGAACAACCTAATTGTACTCTTTTGGACTGCTGTCTTCCAAAAAATAATTAAATGACAGAGCTATGAGCCTATTATTGTTTTCAATTTGTTTGGTGAAGCATTTAATTGTGACTGTAGTGAATGAAGTGATTTGCTTAAAGAGTCATTCTCAGGCAAGTGGAAAAGTTAGGAAATAAATGTAATAAAGCAAATAAATATGAAAGAAAAAAATAAGGAACTCTGTGGGTGAAATGATAAGAAAATTGGAACTGAATTTTATTTGACAAAAGGAGTTTGTGGTCTAGTGGTAGTCTAGGCAAAGTATAGCTGCAAGACACATAAAATCCCATGACAGTTTTGTCCCTGAACATTCTCTGTTTAATAGTAATTTTTTCTGGGCTCTAAGTGGTCATCAGCTGCCTCCTGTTTTGATAAAATAAAAAAAGAAATGAAACTAGAAATATGAATCTCTCTGCAGGCAAGAACAAATTATTTTACTATTTTTATCTTTGCTGCAAGAGAATAAAAATATTGTATGGTTTTCAAAGAATATTTAAAGTTCAGAACTTATCCAGTGTGGGGGAAAATTCATGCTGGTTGTCTTTACACAGAAAATGACATTTCTACACATGCACAGGGGGGAAAAATTCTGCACAAAACAGCATTGTCTGCAATGAAGACATTTCAATGAAGAGAATTATACTTTTTTCAGGCAATTTGTTTTCTGTCCCCAAGTGTGCATTTTGCACACAGAATAAGTCCAGAATAAGAAAGAAGGTAGCTCTCCTAGGAAACCCCTTATCAAGATTTCCCAGCATTAATTTTGAGTGATTTTTGCACTACTCTCAAACAGATTTTGATCCCTAATATAATGATCAGAAAATGTGGTAAAATGTCCAGAGAAGACAAGGGACAAAAGGAGTTGCAACCTTCTAGGAATCCATCTTGAGGGCAATGCCATTTTCAAGCCCTAACATCTCACTTTGTCTCAAAAGATTGAAGGCACACCTCTTACTTTTAAAAAGAAAATAACAAAAAATGTATTTTTCTATAGGATCCTAAAAGTATTTTCCTATAGGATCTCCTTCTCTGAATATTTTCAAAAACAGGCAGGCTAGATAACTTCTGGGGATATTTTAGTGGGACATCCTGCACTGAGTAGAGGTTCAACTAGATGGTCCTTCCAATTCTATTTCAAACCCATGACAAGTACCGCACTGCTCTTCATTGAGATAACATCTTTCGCTCTGGATCTCCCCAAGAATAGAGAGGAGCCCAGACTTGGTTTTTCTACTCCATTCAGTAGAAATCTGGCCTTAAGAAGCAAACCTGTTTTAGGAGAATTTCCAAGCATTCTGTGCCAGATCAGCAGCAGGTCAGTTTGGAAGAATTTCTTGTAGCTATTTAGATTTGTGACATGTAATTGATTTTTCTTGCTTTATGCAGCATTCTTACTCACCAAAGGCCCACACATCAGACTTGCTGCTGAACTTAGTATAATGAAAAACCTCTGGTGATGACCATTTGATAGGAAATTTAGTTCCTAAGGAGCTGATATACTGGTCATCCAGGACATATCTATAAAAGAAGAGCCAGTATTTAACCCATTGTCTGTTAGAACAAGTTAGAACAAAGATTCTACCCAATGGATGAACAAAATGTGTACTATAGAAACTGGCAATGACATAGATGATCTACCTGACACTAACATCAACTTTTCATGAATTATCTTTCTGGGCAGGTGTTGTTTTAAACATTTGCAACAGAACTACCAAATGGAGCCAAACATCTGTATCACACGAACAAGCTTTTTAAGGCATTGGCTTTGGCAACAAATATTGCAATTCTCCTCTGGTAGAGGTAAAATCATCTTAATTTAAGAAGTTCATTATATCCTAATATTGGGGTTTTTTTGTCCAACAGCCAGAGGCTGGAGATGAATACATTGTGTATGACCTCTTTTACTGTCATATTTTTTTTACCCACAATTCCAATCAGGTGTTTGCACACATGAGAGAAATTGGCAGGAGCTTTCACAGACACCATGGCAACCTGCTATGGATTTGAAAAGAGTAAACTTTTCACACTCCACTTAGGCATTCCACAGACAAGGACAATTCCCAATTACAAATATGTAAACTTAACTGGGTTATTTGTTCCCCACATTCAAAGGTGGATAACTTGCCAGAGAACAGGAACGATTTTTGAAAAATCTGAATGTTTAACAGAGGTACCTTTTCTTTTTTTTAAAGGTAGCTATAGAGGAATCTGTATTAATGCTAAAGGGACTTACCTTGTCATTCCAAAGTCAGACACCTTCACTGTCAAGTCAGAATCAACCAAGCAATTCCTAGCAGCCTTTGAAAAGAGCATAAGAAATCATTGAGGCTTGTTGCACACTGGGGAAAAGTCCGGTCTGACCCAAGTTTGAAAAACCCATACCGATGAAAAACCCTGCACTTTCCAGAGGGAGCGGGGAGTGTCAAGATGCTCAGCCAGACCTTTAGGCAGGGCACTCAGGAAACTACAAGCCCCTCCCCCCACCCCAGAAAAGCCTTAAAAAGGAAAAAAATTACTTACGTGGTCACCACTACCCTGCTGTCAGCCCTCTCCTGGTGCATAGAAATGACACGCCTTGAGAAGGGCGGGGGGGGAGGAGAGGGCTGACAGCAGGGTAATGGCAGCTGGATAAGTATTTTTTTTACTCTTAAAGGCTTCTAAAAGGATTTTGGTGGTGGGGTAGGGTGGGGGCTGTCTTGGGTTTTCCGGGCTCCATGATCCCCAAGCCCAATCCACACCCACAGCTGGAAAGACCCAAGTCTTCTGAACCATCCGGATCTTTCCATGCATCAAATTAATTTGGCACAAAGCAGGGTTTTCCTGCCTTATACTGAATTAATTTGCTTTTACCCGAGGTGTCGTTTGGTTGCCCCAAATAAAAGCACAAGAGCTCACACATTTTACACATTGTTTGGATGCACCCTGAGGGACAATATGGTGGTAATCAGTATTATGAATGTCCAAATTGGGCATCCCTCTTCCCAACTTTAACGCTACTTTGATTCTCATGGGAGAAGACAAAGATGTATTATTGATATACTCATTTAAAGGTCGAGAGAGTTTAGTCAAAAATTAGATCCAGAAAACGTGGGCCAACTTATCCACAGGTCAGTGTAAATACTGTACCTTAAGTCGTATAAAAAACGAACCCTAAACTTATCTGAGTGGCAATAGAGAAGGGGGTGGTTCTCTTTTTTAAAATATAAGAATACTTTTAAATATAATAATACTGTACCTTAAGTTTGATAATAAAAGAACAATTCTCTTTTCTGAATAGAGCAGTGAAAAGCCTTTCTGAATGCTTGAATGGAAAAATAACAGCAGAAGCCAGGGCACCTGAATCCCTGAAGTAGTAGATCGGATGCTTTCCTCCATGAAAAGACCCTTGACTTATCTGAGTCATATCAAAATCCATAATTTTACCCCCAGCCTGACTTTGACTGATACATGGTGTCAACTTGTATGGTTATTTTTTTCCTCTATGCCATTTCTATAGTGTCATCTCCAGAACAAGTAAATGGTTAGAAAGCATGCTTACCAAATCTCGGTGTATAAACTGATGACTCTCAAGGAAAGCCATTGCTTCACAAACATGATAACACATCTCTACTAGCTGAAAGGGATGAAGCTCCTTTCCATGGTTTTTCAAATAACCGAGCAAGCAGCCATTAGCCATATATTCAGCCACAATATAGATGGGGTATGTCTTGGTACACACCCCATATAATTTAACAAGTCTGGGGTGGTCCAGCTTCCTAAAATGAAAGATCGTGCATGTACATTTAATTTTTCAGATGTGTGAAGCTACTCCATTAAACAGTTAACTAATTAATGCAGTATTACAACTGAGAAACATTAATCAATTTCATGGACCAAAACAATAATTAGAGATACAGTTTAAACTCTCACATGCATCTAGAATATTTATAGTGTGAAGGGAAACTAGTTTTCAAATAACGTACTTTTGAATAAATTGGAGAAATGACTATGTCTGACTCATAAACCATAGTTGCCCACCCTTAATTTATGGTGTAAATAAGCTCCTTCTTATAGTGCAAGCATTAATGTAAACAACAAGCAATGCATAGTAATATCTCTTCTGTTGCCTTCTTGGTTAAAACTTATATTGATGGGAGGGTTGGTTCGTTCATATTTAATTTCCCCTTCAGGTTTAAACCAAGCATTTTAGATTTTGTGTTATTAGCGGGGATATAATTCTTCTCTAATAGTTTTTTGAAAGCTATGTATTTTTTTGGAGATTTTCTGTAGTGAGAAGAAAATTGCTAATATTAGCAATGGTTTCCCAAAGGAAACCATAACTAATATTAGCAATTTTCTTCTCACTACAGAAAATCTCCAAAAAACTACATAGCTTCCAAAACCTATCTGCAAATAAGAACTTATTCTGTGCAAAATTCAAATGTGATACTTTTATACAGAAAATAGTATTTTCTATGCAGAAAACACCATCTTCTATTCAGAAATGCCATCTTTTTGTAAAGCAAGAACAGCCAAATGAGAATTTTGCACGGAAATGCAAAGATGATTGCCACTCTGGGTTCTTCTCATTTAAGTTTCTTAACACTTGAAAAACATGTTTTTGGTTATTGAGTAGACAAAAACAACTACACCCATAACTATGGACCTTATAAGACGGAGGCTGTCCTCCATTTCTACACACTTAAAAGACAAAATCCCATGGATCCCATTGAACGACACACAACCCATTCTGTGAGTTGTTTGGGACTGTCTCTGCAGTATATAGAAATGAGCTCCCCTCATCTCCTTGTGCTTAGAATGCATTTGTCTGTTTTAAGTCTATATTCTTAAATTTCAGTGCGGATGTGCATGTGGGCTGTCTTTTCATGCCTCACGATGCTCCTTCTGCCATCATTACTAATTGGATTTCTGTTCCCGCCCCCCCCCCCCTTAAAAAGTTGTGGTAACTGCACAATTTTGAACTTTGGAAATCCTGCAATTTCACCATTTCTTAAAAACCCTGTGACAAGAGCACTCTATGGCCAATAGAAAGGGGGGGGGGGAGACAAGACCTGCCTGTGTGATAAGAAATGAAGTGCAGAGTTTAACTACAAATGGGAGGAGGAGATCGTTTGTGATGGGTGTTGGTAAACTATCTTCTTTCAATACGGAACGCCATGGGAAGAAGACAATTCCTCCCACTTATCCACCTTGTGAGATAAGTTCTTACTTTTGGAACTTATAATTGCAATTGCATGAAATGAAGCTGGTGGCTATGTTTCACTTACTGTGTGAGTATGTCTGTGTTTGTAAGTGGACACATAAGAATACTAGTACAGAAGAAAAAAGTTACTTACATCATGATTTCTGCTTCTTCTATGAATTCATCTTCAGACATACATCCTTCCTTTATCATTTTAACAGCAACATCATATTTTCCCTTCCATTTTCCAACCTGCACGACTCCAAACTGACCACTTCCTATTTCTCTCTGCAGCACAATATCTTCACGCTTGAGTTCCCAGGGCCCTAGTTTGACAGAAATATTATGTATTTATTTGAGCTTGTTTGTTCACTTATTATTTTTTTCTCAACAGGAATGGTTTTATTGGGAAAAATAATAAATCCAACATATAAACCCTTGCGAAAAAAAATCCTTCCATACCATTTTCCAAAGGTGCTGTGGATGGAATTTTGTTTGTCTTTGTAGAGACGGCATGTCGAAGTCTTGTAACCATACCTGAAAAGTACATGTACTTTATATTTTAAGCTATAATGCTACTTATGGTATATCACTAAACACTAGATTTCCATGAGACTCAATTTATTGAATTCACTGACAGATATATACTTCTTCCGGTTGTGAAAATTTTAACTAAATGCTTACTTTTCAATTACTACTACCCTTTTGAGGCTTTATACTCATACAGGCCTATTGTCTGGATTATTTCAAGATCGAAAACATGATTTCCAAACTACCCAACAGTGGTACAAGATCAGGAAAGCCACAACAACATGTGGTAAGCTCCAGGAAAATACGGGAGCTGAAGACTAAAACATCTCGAGGAGCAGAATTTGAGAAATTGATGCATGCAACAGCCATGTCTCCATAACAAGTAAAATTATATTCATGAGCAAAACATGAACCCATGAAGCACTAAAATTACCTGCTGAATTATGTTGGTGATAATGAATAAGCTTGGGAAGTGAATTGAAACCGTAATTCTCTGCCAGGTAAAACTGATTTGCGCTGTTTACATGAACATGATAGTGTTTCACTATTCCTTTTTTATCTCTGAAAAAATACAAGCAATTGTTACATTTGGAAGATCTCAAATAAACGCAGAAAAGGAAAAAGTCACTAGTATGATGCCTTAATAGTTGTACATGTTTCTAAACACTATTTTGTACATATGTTACATACTTACCTGTTGGTCATGCTAAGTACTGATACTGTGTACTTCCCCACATGACTGGAATCACGAACCATAAAAGCACCATCTTTCCCCTTTTAATAAAAGGAAGAATAGTATCAGAAGACAACTTAATAGCCAAATTGCTATAATAGGTCTTGTAATGCTGTCATGGTGCTATTACAGTTGCATTTTTTAAAAAAAAAAGCCAGATGAACGAATCTCAAAAGGAGTGTTGGGTACAGGAGTTGGTAACAATGCCATTAATGCAGATGAAAATACCATGCAAATGACATTTAAAGTACAAATGAAACATGGGCACAATGAAAACTATTTACAATCAGATACCCCCATGAAACTGGCTCGAAAGGATTTCAAATGGAATAGCATGGCATAAGGGTGTTATAAGGTTGTAAGAACCAGCCAACCTTAGCAAAATTCAAAATGAATCCTAACTGAAACCTTCCAATTGTCATCACTTTCCAATATTGTACTTTGGAATTCCAGGAAGCGGTAGGTAAGCAAGCAGAACCAATGCAGAAACTGATTTTAAAAATCCACATATATTTAAATACTACCTTCTCTTGCAGCAGTTGTTCTGTCTGGGCCCTTGAAAGACGACCAACATACCAACTGCAACAAAAGAGATAGCTAACTTATTATTTTTGAGACAGTTAATGATTTTGAAATTAACATCTGAAAATGAATTAGAGAGCCTACTAAAAGAATCTGTTAATTAAATCAGGTAGCCCATAAAAGCAAGTTAAAAATCTAAAACCTGCCTATTAATATCACGGGACATGGGATTTCTAAAGATATATTTTGAGGAAAGCTTTACTCCTAAATAAAGACTGTGCTGGAAATCATACAAAACAGAATACTCTTGTCACAATCACAACAAGAGATGAGTACAGAAGCATCTGTTTAATGGAAGAAACCAAATGTTATTTTCTTTCTTTCTTTCTTTCTTTCTTTCTTTCTTTCTTTCTTTGTTTCTTTCTTATAATACTGGCACTAAGAATACAAGGTACAGCACAATTATATGCATGTTTTCACAATGATAAGTCCCACTATAACAGCTTCTAGGACTGCAAAGTGTTGAAGTTGTTTGCAATTTATAATGTAGATTTCAAAGTATGTATGCATGTACAGTATCTTTAAAATGCAGTAGTTATGTGCCGAGTGTAATATATTCCTGTGTGGAAAGAGTTAACCGAACCATGGAGGGAATGGCATTCCTAGAGAGGTCAGAAATCAAGTGTATAGAACAAATGGACACAGCATCATATGTCCTACATCACTTTGGAATGCAAGAGGTGTAGACTAGTACTGATAACGGTTAGTGAGTTTGCAATGTTACGATCAGAAGGAAAAGAAGCAAGTTTTTGATGTGCTGAGTGTTAAGTAGCTTCTAATGTTTATAGCTGTAAAATGAAGTAGTTTATAGCCTAAAGTGGCTGTGATTGATCTGTCCCTGCCTTGCTGTGCTGCCGATGCCACTGACACAAAGTTCCATGTTACAGATTTCTGGGCTTTAAATAGCCTCTTTATCTTTGATTGGGAGTAACTGTAGGTTATGAGTCAGATGAAGAACTTCCTTAGGTCGGTTTACTAGCTGATTCTGGATTAATTACTTTCTTTCTAACCCTACTCAAAGAATTGGTGCAATATTTAAAAGAAGGATGCGATATCTAAATGCATTAAATAATAACAAGAACATCATATAATGGAATCAGTATGCAATAGTATGCTGATAGTATCATCAATGCAATGCACAGACCTTGCAGGTAAAACTATAATAACTTGCAAATATTCATTTTTGTGGTAATGAACACCTTGCAGTGGACACTCAAATACTGCCACTGTATTTTATGAGCTATAATTCCAATATTCAACTACATCCAATGGTCTCCTTACTTATATTTATCAAAGCTGTCTTCCATTTCAGCTGCCTCAGTGGTTCCTCTGCAAACAAAAAAAGGCATGTTGGCTTTTATCATCACTTTTATTGCTGAGCCATAGTATGTTCAACACTACTAAAGAAGCTACACAACAATTTTATAGAATTAAAAGTTATGGCTTTGTTAGTCTGGATCAGTATGCAAAGAGATTTTGTAGCACCTTTGACATTAACTAAAAGAAGTTAGTAGCATAAGCTTTCATAGATAAATAGTGTGTTGTTCACACCATATAGTTTAGCATGGTACAAATCTGCCCATGGACTAGCCTTGGATTCAGCACTTATGTAGGACCCCCTGTGGTGTAATGGGTTAAACTTTTGTGCCAGCAGGACTGCTGACCAAAAGGTCGGCAGTTTGAATCCAGGGAGTGGGGTGGGCTCCTGTCTGTCAGCTCCAGCTTCTCATGCAGGGACATGAGAGAAGCCTCCCACAGGATGATAAAACATCCGGGAGTCCCCTGGGCAACGTCCTTACAGACGGCCCTTTTTTATCTCACCAGAAGCGACTTGCAGTTTCTCAAGTCACTCCTGACACGAATAAAAAGCACTTATGTGGAGGCATCTAGTTTCCTAAGGAATGGAACCTGAGCAAAGAATATTAGATGAACCAATATATAATCATTACAGATAAGCATGCTAGAGAGTTGCTACGACAACAGTATCTATGAAAGTGTAATATCTGACTTGCCATATGACAATGAATTGACGCTTTACATGAAATACAGTATAATTTAATGAAAGCAATGTGACCAGCCATTGCCATGCCTGTGTTTCTTTGTAATAAGTCTATATACATTTGCATATACTTATTAGCCTACCAACTAACAGAGAGCTTGCTCATTCTCCCATACAATTATCTTGAGATTCAAATGCTTATTAACACTTAAGTGAAATGTTAGTACTAAGCCTGTCTGTCTGGATTTCACCAATGTCACTAGTTAGGCACCCAGGTGGCCAAAAGGTGATAAGTTTCCCCTTCTGTTGTATCCTATGCTTAATGTAACAAAATGGCTGGAATACAGCTTACCTTAATTCATCGGTGGTCTGAGATATCATCTTCAGATAAGTATGTGGAACAAAGCCTTCATTACTGTAAATGAAAAATACATTTTTAAAAAATACAGGAAGTCCCCAAGTTACAAACAAGATAATTTATGTAGGTTTGTTCTTAAGTTGAATTAGTATGTAAGTTGGAAGAGGTATGCTTTTTAAGTGTAACCCCAGCTATATAGGTGTGGTCGTGTGTGTGCGTGCACACATATGCTTTGGATAACACAGAGAAGGGATAACACTGCTGTGGTGTTTCTTTTGCTGCCTATGACCTTGCTCAGAAGATTTTAGAAGATTTCACCACAATTTCTGTCCCTGTGAGCACTAGATTTTGAAAAATATGGCTTGTTCTGGAAGCAAAGATTGGTGAGAAAGCTTCAGTGGAGACACATTTTCCTCATGATAACTTCCTGTTGTCTCACCCCTGTTCTTAACAATGAGTCGTTTGTGACTTGGGGACTGCCTGCAAAAGATTACACACACACACACACACACACACAAACACACATGATATTCTCAAAAAAGCAAGATAAAATAGAGGAGGGAGGAAGAAATTTGATTTTATACGTTTATCACGATGCAGGATGATCAACATTGACTTTCCATTTACACTAATGAGGGACCATTGTCAAGACTAGAATAAAGATTAAAGATCAATAATATCTTTTTTTGGGGGGGTGATCTTATTGCTACACTCTGTATGAGAATGGTAATAATCTTTGCCATATTTTTTCCTGCTGTTAACATTTCTGCCAGGATGGGGGTAAATAGTTTATGAAAACTTTGGTATGTCAGCAGGTGCCTTAAATGGACAATAAGCTCATCCTTTCCCCAATAAGGCATTCATAGTCCACTTGTACATACAGTTCATCTCACTTGTGTTTTCAACCCTTCCTCTGCAGAGCCTATAGCAGTATACATGGGAATGTATATTTTGTTAGCCTGATAACCACATGAGATAGGTTAACAAAGACCCCTTCTACACTTACATATAAAGTCCAGATTATCTAATTTGAACTGGGTTATATGGCAGTGTAGAAGGGACCTAAGAGTGATCTTGCATGAACCATCCTCAGTTTTACAATTAAGATTTTAACCTATGTATTCTTGGCCCAGGTCCAGCAGCTACCTGCACAGAACAATATACCCAGAAAAAGTTCAGCTACCTAAGTACCACCTAGATTGACTCGGGCATAATTTAGACAAATTAGCAGCATATGTTTTAAATCAGAGCATTTAATTTTTCAGTAAATTTCAAGTGCAGCATGAGTGGGAAAGTTTTTTAATAGAATATGAACATTATTTCTTAGTAGTGACAAAATGACAGTAGTATTTCTGTAGCAGAAACATACCCATCCAAATCTCTTACTTGCCACCAGTCAGGATCGTCATCTCTCAGAATATAATATTTGTGGTTTCTGACAAGCCGAACATCAGAGCTTCCTTTTGGTTCATAATTATGAACAGCTAGCGCTTCTTTCAGATATGACTTGTCAGATATTAGACCTGGTAGTTGCTGCAAAAACAAACCCAGAAAAAGGAAATAAATATACCACATCATGAATGTAAAGAAGAATTGATACCCACTTTATCATTACGTAATAATAAGAATACCAACAACAATGCACATTTCAAGCATTCAGATCATATTAGAAACATTATTTTTGATCCACATGGAGTCACCCTTGGAGCAGATATGTAGAAATAATTGGACCTCAGTTAGTTTGCCCAAATGCTTCACTGCATCAGTGATTTTCTAACCCTTTTTCTAATATTACCTTAGGCTTCTCCTGAGTTTTGTCACATCCTTACATTTACTTTACTATACATTTTTTATTAGCCAAATGTTACTGAAATGATTTTCCTGAAAAGAAATCTTAACGTTCAATTTTAAAACCCACCACACATACTGTTCAATTTGCATGAATATTAATCTCTCTCTCTCTCTACACACATACACACATTTACACACATACAGAGAGAGTGAGAGAGAGTAATGTTTGTGCAAGAGTCAGTGGGGATAAACTTGGCAAATCTTAACTGATTCATTATTTAAAAAATCCTTTAATGAATTGTGTGACCACACTCCTAGTTGTTAAAGTATGTGTTGAAAGAGTAGCAAGAATGATGAAGGGCAGAAGAGCTGCTTTCATAATTAAACAAAAGAAAGTTATCTTAACTGTGCCAGGTATATATCAAATGTGGACTAGGGCTAGGAAAGTGCTCATCAGCCATTAAAATACTGCCCTCATTCATCTCATTTGATGAATTGCCTGTACAGCCATTTTTTATGGACTGGAGGTTCTTAAAGTACCAGTACAGCATGAAATTATATTCTGATTGTTGCACTCCAGGCTGGGAAACACGTCTGTACTTAACCATCCACTCCAGTCCAAGTTAAATTAGCAAAGCAGTTTATTAAATATGATATAAAAAGCACTTCAGCAAAAATAGTAAAAACTTCAAAGTCTATATGTATAAAATAGCCCACAAGGTCCAAGGTACAGGAGTAATCAAGAATCTCAAACCATCAGAGCATCAGGCACAGGAATACAAGGAAGAGGAAGCACAAGGCAGCATAAAATCCAATACAAAAATCCAGGAATAATCCTTGGATGCATGAAATATGAACAAAGGCATGAAACTAGAATCCCCTTGACCAAGACTTGGCAAGAGTTGTTGTCTCAATTACCAGCATTAACCAGCCTGACTAGAAAATGCCAAAAAGAAAAATGGGTTCCCCTGAAACTGTGGAGACCAAGACTAGAAAATGCCCCCGGCCTCTCTAATATAGACAGGAAGTCATGTCTTTTCACATATGTGTCTGATACGGGCTTCTGTTGTAAAGGCACTGGGACCTTCGGAGATTCTGCTGAGCAGACCGAAGTTTACGAAAACTAAGTATCCTATCAACCAGCTCATTATCTTCCAACTCATTATTCTCTGCACCTGGGATTTCGGTCTCTGAACTCTTTTCCCTAGAGACTGGCTCCTCTGCACCATTTTGGCAACTCTCTGGAATGTGACCTTCACTAGCTGCTGGAGACACAGACTGATCATTTTCAAGACTTAAAATCTCATGTGGACTCACTGGCCCAGAGTTCCCATGATCCACATCCACATTAACATTGGTATCAGCCACAATAATGGGCTGAACTGGCTGAACTACAACACCATTTTTTCATGGAATAATTGCTGCATCACACTTTCTTTTCCTGTATGTAATTAACTCATCATTTTCCACTGTCAAACCGTATAACCACATAGTAGCCTATCAATAACAATGACACATTTCTATGTATATGTATGTTCTCAGATATACAGCCATGACACAAACACCTACTTTATACTTGGGGGTCCATCGGCTTTCTCGCAGGTCTAGTGACCTGTAAAGGAGTCTAGGAGGAGGGAAAAGGGTAATTTCCAGCTGTGACATGGGGAGAAGGAGGGTGGAAGATAGGGCCCCTGCCCAGTGGCCCCAAACCATGTTCAGTGCAGCCACTAGATCAGACCCACTTTATGGGTCAGGGTAGGAAGTGACCCCTGCTGAACTACAATGCTGTGCAAACATCCACACACTACCATACGTAACTTGGTGAATGTATCCACATAGGGTTTGTAATAGAACAGAGTCTAATTTACATTACAGAACAGACAACAGAACAGAAACAAGTTCTGTGTCTTTTTACTAGACTTTGGGAACTGGCCTACTTTTTGTGTTTGTGATATGCAGAATTTAGATGTAAACCCTGCACCTGGCCTCCTCTGATAAGCCAGCCATAAGTAAAGAAGCTGTCAGCTAGGTTTTGCAAATAATTGTCCTAAAACAACAGCTATTGTCATTTAAAAAAATAGATTTGCATCACTAAAGGTACACCCATCTGCTTAAGGTCATTCCAGGTTACCGCATTTCTCCTTGAAAATAAGTCCACCCATGGAGAAAACAAATGGATGAAAAGAAAGGCAAAGCAAGGGCTTCTCTTTTTTGTCAGGAGTCACTTGTCAATCCAATCATTCCAGTGGCATGTCTGTCCTTTGTATGGATACCAAGATTCACTGCTAAAACATTTCTCACTTACCAGTTGGCCTGGTACTGGTGGGAGCGGTTTCACTGCAGTGCTTACACTGTGTGGGCTGGAGTCTACAGCAAAAACATGAAAATCCGAGGTGAAATGCATATCCTACAGCAGGAGTGGGCTACGTGTGGACTTTTGACCCTACTTTTGTGGCCCCAGAAGCCCCCTCCTCAACTTCTTCCCATTTTAGAAAATCAACAATTTTTATGGGATTGTCCACAAACAATAGAGAAAACCTACAAACTACATAAAAGCACAAGAAAATACCCTCTCCCCACCCTTTCAAGCACTCCAAAATCCCATTCTATCTCCAGATATCTCTGTGCCTCTAAAATAGCAACAGGAGGTTAGAAGAAGTGTGAATGAAAAACAGAAATGTTTGGGTTTGGTATGGATGTATGTGTGTGTGTGGCCTACATGCCTGCATGTAATGTGTGCGTGGTAGCTAATTGGCCCCGGCTACCACATTGTTACTCACCCCATCCTACAGATAGGACCTAGAGGTAAGCACTGGGTATACTTTTTGACCATTTAATTAGTATGGTATCAGTACTGGACTACCCTGGGGAAATTGTTATGGAACGCAGAATTCATTCAGAGGGACTCACAGAACTGTACGTGAACATTCACTTATAACTCTTTTTAAAAAGTCTACAGAGATACATCCTCCAGGCTGAGATCATTGGGTAAATGTGTGACCAGAACACACATCTGAAATTAGAAGGCACAGCTAGCTAGCACTTTCAAAAATACCTTTACACACAGAACTCAGAAGAAAATTTGTGAATTGTTCAATGTGCATGTGAATATGAAACAGTAAAGACAAATAACAATGGTGCTTGAACAGAAGGTCACTCATTGGTAATTGTTTGAAGCACTTGAGATGCATCTACACTATACAATCAATGCGGTTTGACATGACTTCAACTGCCACGGCTCAATGCTATGGAATCCTGGGATCTGTTGTTTGGTGAGGCACTAACATGCTTGGTCCAAGAAGATGGAATAATTTGCAAAATGGCAATACTCATTATTCTATAGCATTGAGCCATGGCAGTTAAAGTGGTCTGAAACTGCATTATTCCTACAGTGTAGATGCAGCTTTGGGCCTTGGTCTGACCCAATCGTGTTTTTTCTTTCTAGGCATTCAGAACTTATACTGGCCTCCCCAAGTCTGGTGCCCTTTAGATGTCTTACAGGCAAGGAATAGAGAGAGGCAGAGTCTAGCAAATCTGTAAAGTGTCAGGTTGGGATCGATGGCTTAAAATCACTTAATAGCCTAACTTTTTGGAGAGAAATAATATTTCAGCTATATTGTTGTCTAAGCAGCTGAGAAGAGACTTTTCATCTAACTGTACAAATTTACTATTGAGCATAAAACAGTAATGTTGTGTGCCAGGAGCCGCTTCCAAAGAGCAAGATTTGCATGCAGATTATTTGTTTTGGAAATTGATCGGCTTACTCATACTTTGGTATAATAACAGGACATTGTTTGTAGCTCCTGTTACACTATCTAGGTGAACTCCTGGAGTGTCTGTTATATAATTTCATTCTGCTCTCCCACAAACACATATTACTACATTTACATAATAAGTTAATAGACCCAGGAAAACACTAGGTAACAACTCACAAGTCTGACATGTTTGTTTCATTTGTGGAATATTTATTTCAGAGGTGTGGGGAGAAAAGCTTAGTTGACAAATCAGACACAGAAGCCAGCCTCCTCTTGAGACTTGGTTGCTTCACCAAAAGTGATGCTGGCATATTTAATTTTTGTAGCATTGCACTGGAGGTACCCAGTAGTTTTGGATGCAGGCAGTACAACAGCTATCAAAAGATGTCTGGCAACAGCCCCACCTCTAACCCAAGGGGTCACTGATAGCTTCAAGGATATGCCAAGAAAGCTCCTTCCAGTTCTCTCTCTCTCTCTCCCCCCCCCCCCCATTCTGGAGCATGAAATTCTGTCAGTTTATGTTTGCCTTGCAATGTTTACATCACAGGGAGGAAAATCCATTGGCAGGAGCCAAACACTGATTTTTTCCCTGTGCCCACCAATTTTCTTATGAAAATTCCCGTGCTTGTTAGTATGCCAAATGCAGTGGACCCAGGGACATGGTTTCTGCTCCAAAGATCATTTGGGAGCTGCAAGGACAGCCAAAACTATGGAAAATAAATGAAGAAAAAACAAAACAAAACTAGAAGTAAGCACAAATAAGCGTGTATTTTTAATGTCACAAATTTAATAAGGGCCCTTCAATCTATTCTGAAGGCAAACTGCTGGTCCTGGACGCTCCCAATACAAACAAATTCACCTTTGCAAAATGAACATTCTGGGAAGTCTGGAAGGGACAAAGACTGCAAAACCAGCTTTGGGTGTACATATACACACCTAGCTCATCCCACACTAGAGTATTATCCAATTGCTCCTTTAACTTCCCAGTAAGTCTGGTTCAGATTGGTCTGCCAGATGAAAAGGAATGATCCTTCATCTTACTGTCAATCTGACTGAAACTCGCAATAAAATGTCGAGTGCATAACATGGTGAAAAACATCAAAGAATAGTTAATTATAACGAAGATGTATTACCTGCAGTTGCATGCAATTACTGTTATGTTGGAAACAGCATGAAAAAGCTCTCATTTCCAATGGTGGTTCACAAAAAAAAAAAAAAGGCACAAGGGTAATACATTACATTTTTCCCATATTGTGCATCCAGGAGCTGCTTTGCAAGTTTGATTGCAGCACAGAAACTTCCCATTTGAAAAGAAGCCATTGTGGTATTTGTTTAGTAAATCCATGTTATCTTTAATCTCTAGAAAAGATGAGGGTTGAGGAGAATAAGAAACTGAAAATCTTCATTCCTACAAAATAGTCATCTGTTCTTGTTATTCCTCTTCCTTCACCAAGTCCATTACAAACCCTAACATGCGACCTTGCAATAACCAACAGAATATCACACAGTTCACACAATCAAGGGACAATATTAAGAATATGGATTAGAAAACTTATTTGTTGAGTTTTCAGACAAAAAACAGTGTTGTAGTGGAATTGAGTCTTGTAGAGCAAAGCTCTAGGTGTAGGATCTGGCCCTCTGCTCAAACTTCCTATTCCCTTTTAGTTTAGCTGTGCAATCTCCATGGGTGAAGATAAATGTATCGTAATTTTTATTCTGGGCAAATATGTTTTGTTTTTTTGTTTTTTTGGGGGTGTGTGAGTTTTTCTCATGCAGTGAAATCCCATCAGCATTACAAAACTCTGCTTTTGTTAAGATGGAAGCAATTAGAATGGATTGTTTTCATGGGCTAACATGTATGGTGGATTTTTTAGACTCTCATTGGCAATGTGACAATGGATCATTTTTATAAAAAAAAATACCTGTATCTTACGTTTACTGTTATATTATAGAATCATTTCTTTCTCAGAAATGCCACCTCATATTATGAGCCACTGTAATTACACTCAGTGGTTTAGGTGATGTTGATGTATTGTCCTTAACTAATGCTTTCATTTTGTACATCACAGTTTGGGAGTACTCCTGGATTTGGCTCTCAACCTGGAGGCCCAGGCCCAGGTATCAGCAGTGACCAGGAGTGCTTTTGCACAGTTAATGCTAGTGCGCCAACTGCATCAATTTCTAGAGAAGTCAGATTTGGGCACAGTGGTACATGCCTTGGTTACATCCCAGCTGAACCTGGGAAACATCTTTGGTTTACTGGGGAGGGCCTTCTCTATGTCTCACCACCTGCTCAAGCACGTTTGATGGGAACATGGAAAAGGGCCTTTTCAGTGGCTGTTCCCAGACTGTGGAACTGCCTCCCAAGAGAGACCAGCATGGCCCCACCCCTACTGGTCTTCTGCAAGCAAGTCAAGACCTTCCATCAGCAAGCATTTGGGGAAGAATAAGGAGCAGGCTGCTGGGAAAGTGGGGGTGTGACTCAGGGGGGTTGTGAGTTTTAAAGGCAATTTATTATATTTTAATCTGTTTTTAACTTAATCCACACTGTAATCCCAGTTTGCCTTCCTCAAGACCTTTTCATGTCTACAGGCATTTGGGGAAGAGTAAAGGGCAGGTTTTGAGGAAGCTGGGTGGGATTGGGGGGAATATGAGTTTTAAAGGCCATTTTTGTGTATTTGCTGTATTTTAATTCTGTTTTTGGCACATTGTTATTTAAATGTTTTTAACTTTTGTACTGCATCTTTTAAATTTGTTTAGTGTGGAGTATTAGCCGCCTTGAGTTTCCACCGGGAGAAAGGCCGGGCATAAAGATAATAAATAAATATAAATAAATACATTACTTGAGTATTTTGTTTATTCTTATTATTCTAGTAAATTCTATAAAAGGTTTTCACAGAATGTGTTGTCATTTTGCTAGCTGGATCAAGCTTCCATAGGATATGTATACCTTTGCTTAAAAAAAAAAGCTTTTGGACTCCAAAACATGGTACCTTTATGCAAAGCTTCCAGCCATCGCCTTCTACTGTCATCATTTGCAGAGAAGACATATAGGAGGCCACCTCGGTACACAATCTGGGCACAAAAGAAAGCAACTCAGAAGACCACATGTTAAACAACGATCAACTATCATTACAATGTACTCCTATCAGGCCAGATGCTCTGCTGCCACACATATTGCTATTTCATTTGATGCACTGATGAAACAAGTCTAGATTTCAGCTACATCTTCCAACTGTACCAATTTGGCAAGGATTAATCCTTTAATGTCCCACTTTACAAACTGCTTTTAAAATATGCCAGTTTTTCTCTCTCTTCTTTCTGTTTTCCCTTTTAGTCTTGGCTTATTTCGATTGCTGCAAACAAATTAGTTTGCACTCAATTAACTTATCGGGAATGGGGGGAGAAGAAGGGACACATTCTTTCCCTTCCCAGCAAACTGCTGCAGTATCTCATAGATTATTCCTATTCCTCATTAATAATATCTGTCATTTTGATCAAACTCTAATGTTGTTTGGCCACACATGTCCCAGTCTCCATCCATGACATGTTGGAAAGCATTATACTGTTGATTTTATTTTGATGCCACTGGAAAAGGTTAGTTTGAT